TTAAGTGTGTGCATGTCACTATAGATACATATAGTCATTACATATGGGCTACGGCTTAGGCCGGGGAAAAAGCTACACATGTTATCAGGCACCTGTTAAGTTGCTTTGCTGTCATGGGAGTCCCAAAGAGTATCAAAACAGATAATGGTCGAGCTTATGTGAGTGCTAGGGTCCAGAAATTCTTGAATCAGTGGTCTTTTAAGCATGTGACAGGTATTCCACACTCTCCTACTGGATAGGCAATAGTGGAAAGAGCAAATGGTACCCTTAAACGGTATATTGAGAAGCATCAAGATTTAACAGACCCACAATCATGTTTAGCTAAGGTTCTGTATGTGATCAATCATTTATGTATTTTTGGGGAAGACGATATCCCTCCTGCAATTAAACATCATCCGAGGTCAGGTCAGGAAATTAAAACCCGACTACAGGATTATGGCAAAAACCTGCAAAAGTAATATACTGGGGTCGGGGATATCTTTGTGTTTCCTCACCTACAGGGCCTTTGTGGGTGCCTGCTAAGTGGACTAAACCTGTTTTTGATGCAGCCTCTGGTGGACTGCCTCACGGAAGAGGACAGGGAGTGACTGGGGAAGAAACTGCTTCTAGTCCTACGACCACTACTGTTACAGCTAAAGGGACACTCGAAAGTGGTGGACAGAGCACTGACACGTCACTATCGGACGGCCTAGGAGCTGATTGGTTTTATTGACTCATTATCAACTTTTCGTTTAACAAATCCAGCAAAGGAACATTGCCTTGACTGTCACGATCCACATTGTGCTGCCTGGATAGCCCTACGTTGTGGGGGTTGTGATAGAACTTTTTGGATAGAACAATCATTATTATGGGATTTATGGTGTCACACTTGTGAGCACGAGCACACGTGGGGTAAAAGCTGGCAAGATGAATTAAGGAGACAAACAGGGCAAAATGCATATATAGCTTTAAATCTTTATGAGTCTCCTGAACAGAAAATTCTTGCTTATTATCGATGGGAAGTACAATGTGTTGTAAATAGAATTGAGGTTCAAAGTGAATCACGTATAGTCTCTGCAAGGTGTAGAAAATTAGTACCTTTAACGCAACTTTCTATTGTAGGACCCTTCAGAGGGAATCCTGAAAGAGCACTAGACTGCTGCATTGAAAAGTTGCAAAAAATTAAGTTTGCAAGTAACAGGACCAGTGAAGTTAGGAGCAGCAAAACTGAAAACAGATAAGAAACAGAAGGTAAGATAGGGAATGACCTCATCTAAATAAGGCTATTAGTGATTTTTAATTAGCTTTCCTATGATTAGAGCAATTTCACATCTATGGGACCCTGCCTTGTGGGATGCTGTAACTCCATGGGACCCTGCTTCGTGGCATGCTATAGGTGTTGAAGAACAAGAACAGTGATTACGAGATAAGATGCATTTTGTATTAAAGAAGGAGCTTGAATTGGTAGCTGTATATAGTAAGAAAGCTGAAGAGCCTTTGCAATCACCACCATTGAACTGGTTGGATTGGATCACACAGACAAACTTTAATACTGATCCTTTCCTGTATACACTTCCTTGTTATGTTTGCAAAAAGGATAATGATAAGTGCTCTGCTAGGGTTGCTTTGCATTGTGCTGATTGCCATAAGGTTTATTGGTATTCACAGAGGACAGTAGGAATTTTATGGTGTCACCCTTGTTTTGGGAAGTGGATTCGATATTCTTCCTGGTATAGAGCTCTTGAGCAAAGTACTGGTCTACCAGGAAGGTCAGGATTACAACTTTATGAGAGTACAGAACAAGTGGCCATAGCATATATAAGGTGGAAATCACAGCAAGTACTTAGAGAGCTTGAAATTACTACATCCTCACGCATCATAGCAGCTCGCTGTAAAGCTGATTTGCCTTTAAACTTACCTCACGCTATACCTGTAAGCAAGGATGCTGATTTGGAATTAGATCAGTGCATTCAAAAACTAACTTATGTCTACATTATCCATTCTAACAAGTCAGATAAAAGACAGAATAGAAAGGGAGAAAAATGAAGCTTGTTCTTATTGTACTGCTTAATGCTGTAGCAAGTGAAGCAATAGGGATAACACATTTCAGTCAGCCAAGAGAAAATCTATGGGTAACACTTGCTAATCAAATTAATCAATCATCGCTTTGTCTTAGTCTTGGAGGAATTACTAACCCATTTCGAACATGCCTGGTGGGACTTCCGGTGTGGTCTCCTGGAGAATTTTGCAGTTTGATAAATAATCGAACTTTATGTATGTCTAACATGTCAGACATCACATTGCCAGCACAGCAAGGGTATACTGCAGGTCAGAGTGATGGCTATCGCCAATGCTTACTAATCCAATCACTTAACACCTCTTTGCATTCTCCTCCTGAGGAATTGGATGTTTTTGGAAGTGCAAATTCCAGTATATCTAATACTACAGCTGGCGGATGGTTCAATTTCAAACCCTTGGATGTTCAAAATTTAAATCAACCTAAAGAAACATGGGCCACCTTAGATTCATCCCTGAATTTGAGTGAATTCTCTCCACAGCATTACAGTCAATGTAACGGCACAAACATCACGGCACCAATGAAACCTACAGGAATATTTTTAATTTGTGGAGACAGGGCGTGGAATGGTGTACCAGCTAAGCCACAGGGTGGACCCTGTTATTTGGGAAAATTGTCCTTGTTTCACCCTAATGTATCCTTGCTAATGCAGCTCAGTCAAACATCAAACAGGAAAAAACGTAGTATACATGACTTGGACTGCAGCCAGATAGGAGATCCAAAGTTTCGGGGTACATTCAGGCAAGTAGTAGTTTCAACTGTCTTGCCAGGAGGATCTGCCAATAAGGCTATGAATTTAGCAAAGCAATTAGGGTGCTGGGCAAGAGATGAGCTAAACAAGACATCCCAAATTCTGGACATGTTAACTGCGGATGTGCAGAGTGTTAACCATGCTGTTTTGCAAAATAGAGCTGCTGTAGATTTTTTGCTCTTAGCACAAGGGCATGGATGTGAAGAATTTGAGGGAATGTGTTGCATGAATCTGTCTGATCATTCGGTGTCCATTCACACTAAGATAAAAGAATTGCAACAAGGACTTCACAATCTCAAGGAAGAAGAAGGTTTAGGAATTGACGAATGGCTTAAAAACTTAGGACTTGGGCCATGGCTGAGGAACCTTGTGATCTATGCTATAGGACTACTGGGTGTAGTTATACTGTTTTAGCTTATTTTGCCTTGAGTCTTTAATTGTATTCAAAACATGGTCAGTCGTATGATAGCAAAAATGCAGACTAGTCTTCTTGCTCAAGAAGAAAACGGGGGAAATATGGAGGATTTTATTAAGAGTTGGTTAGCTGAGAAAGGCCATACTGACATAATGCCACTGGTTAAGCTGAAAGAGTGAGGTCAGCAGTCTCTGATTCCGTGACTGCTGACAGGCAAGAATGCCGGATGACCTTGCTGCAACATGAGGAAAGGGAGGTGAGATTAGTCCTGAATATCTGCAGAATGTAACAGAAGAACAAGCAAAAGAATGTAGAAGTAGGTGTAGTTGCTGATATGTAACTAACCAATCCTGAGCTCAACTTTTGCAATATGTATGAAGCTTATTAAGAACTATATTTAACCCGCCGTATTCGATCAATAAATTGGACTTGGATGAACCAACTGGTGTCTGGGTCTCCTTCTTCCGACATCCCCATCTCCCCTTTGTCCCACAGGGCTCCGGGCGGCCGTGACCCTGCTGGAGTGCAGGCGGACCTCCAGCCCCCCGGGGGGTCCCTGCGCCTCCTCTGCCGAGGGTCCGGGTTCAGTTTTGGGAGTGTTGCAATGGGCTGGATGCGCCAGAGACCCGGGCAGGGGCTGGAATACATCACCAGTATCAGCTACAATGGTCGTAGCACCGGCTACGCGCCATCAGTGCAGGGCCGGTTCACGATCTCCAGGGACAACGGGCAGAGCTTGGTGACGCTGACCATGAACAACCTCAAGGACGAGGATTCCGCCTCCTATTTCTGTGCCAAGAGTGCTGCTGGCTGTGCTGCTTATACTGGTGCCTATTGTATTGACCCCGCACCCATTGCTATGTCCCCACAGTCCCCGTTCCCCAGACCCTTCCCCCAATCCACAGCCCCTGACGCCACTCCTGTCCCCGTGTCCCAGCCCTGAACTGGCTCTTTCCCAAATCTCCCCCATTCTCCCCCAAACTCCCAATTCTCGGCCCCACCCCTTCACCCTTGGTGCCAATTTTTGCGCTGAATTCTCAAGATTTAATGCCCGCAGCTTGGGTTTGGGGACAGGGTTGCAGATTTGGGGTTGCCCCAGAGGGATTCTCGGGCCGATAATCACAAGTGTCAAGGGCTGAGGTTTTGAAGTAAAGGTCTGGGTTTGAGGACAGGGGGGAGTCCAAATGGGAGCAGGGCCAAAACCACCATGACCAACATCACCACAATCAATATCCTCACCAGCAGCAGGAGCACAACAATCATCCCAATTTTCGGCACAGAAATAAAGAGCGGAATCCTTGACCTTGAGGTTGGTCATGGCCAGTGTCAACAGACTCTGCCCGTTGTCCCTGGCGATCATGAACCAGCCCTTGACCGAATCGGCGTACCAGGTGCTGCCACCGCTGAAGATGTAGGCGACGAACTCCAGCCCCTGCCCGGGTCTCTGTGGGACCCAGCTCATGGCAACACTCCCAAAACTGAACCCGGACCCTAGGCACAGCAATGTCAGGGATCCCCCGTGGGGCAGGAGGTCTCCCCCGCATTCCAGCAGGGTCACGGCCGCCCGGAGCCCTGCGGGACAAAGGGGTGATGGGGATGAGAAACCTGATTGGCTGAGGGCATGAATGGGTGGCAGTGTCAGCTGTAAAAAGGGACGGGACTCACCTGGGAGGAGGATGATGAACTCCAAGGGTCCCAATCTGGGGCCCAGAGTCAGGATTTGGGTCAAGGGTTGAGCTCTGGCCTCATCCCTATCTCCCCTTTGTCCCGCAGGGCTCCGGGCGGCCGTGACCCTGCTGGAGTGCGGGGGGGACCTCCAGCCCCCCAGGGGGTCCCTGCGCCTCATCTGCCGAGGGTCTGGGTTCAGTTTAAGGGATTATGGAATGTACTGGATCCGCCAGAGACCCGGGCAGGCTTTGGAATACGTCGCAGGCATCTACTACAATAGTGCCAACACTTTCTACACGCCTTCGGTCAAGGGCCGGTTCACGATCTCCAGGGACAACGGGCAGAGCTCGGTGACGCTGACCATGAACAACCTCAAGGACGAGGATTCCGCCGTTTATTTCTGCGCCAAGTGTGCTGCTAATAATTTCCCTGAACATGGTGCTCGTAGTGACGATGTCCATGCTGTCCCCATCCCCATCCCCTTATCCCCTTCCGTCCCTGTTCCCCAGACCCTTCCCCCAAACCCCCTGCCCACACCCAGCCCTCGACCATCGATCCCAACCTTGCTCTGCCTCGGCCCAAATTCTCACCCGCTGACCCCAAACCACAACTCCTGACCCCAAATCTCCTCTTTGTGCCCCACAATTTTGCCCTGAACGTCAAGGTTTGGGACCCAGGGTCCCAATATGGGGACAAAGGTGTAGGATTCGGTCAGTGGCTGCTGCTGCAGGGAGCACAAAGTAGGTTGGTGCAGAATCAGTTTGGGGGATTAGGCTCCGTGGTTGGTGTTGGTGGAAATGGGGGAGATCTGGGACAAAGGCTCAGGAATGGGGTCAAGGGCTGAGATTTGGGTAAAGGTTCTGAGATTTGGGGACAAGACAGGCTCAGGCAAGGGCGCTGCCACCACCAGCACGGTCAATGTAAGTAGCAGCAGCAGCCCAAGCAGCACCAGCAGCTTTGGCACAGAAATGGGATCCGGAATCCTCGTCCTTGAGGTTGTTCATGGTCAGCGTCACCGAGCTCTGCCCATTGTCCCTGGAGATCGTGAACTGGCCCTGCACCGACGGCCTGTAGATGGTGCTGGAACCATCGCTCCTGATCCATGCGACCCATTCCAGCCCCTGCCCGGGTCTCTGGCGGTTGCAGAGCATGTCAGATCTGCCGAAACTGAACCCGGACCCTCGACAGAGGAGGCGCAGGGACCCCCCGGGGGGCTGGAGGTCCCCCCCGCACTCCAGCAGGGTCACGGCCACTCCCCCATCCCCAAACATTCCCCCAGTTTTGCCCCAAATTCCCTTTGTCTGGCCTCAAATATCCAACAGAGGTTTCCGGTATGCAAAAGTTCTTTAAACCCTGCAATTAGCCCCAATCCACCCATTAATTAATTGGACACCTCAGCCTGACTTTTGCATCGCCCCATCCCCATCTCCCCTTTGTCCCGCAGGGCACAGGGCGGCCGTGACCCTGCTGGAGTGCGGGGGGGACCTCCAGCCCCCCGGAGGGTCCCAGCGCCTTCTCTGTCGAGGGTCTGGGTTAAATTTCGGGAGTTTCTCCATGTTCTGGGTGCACCGGAGAACCGGGCAGGGGCTGGAATTTGTTGCAGTGATTAAGGACAATTGTGGCAGCATCGCCTACGCGCCAGCGTTCAAGGGCCGGGTCACGATCTCCAGGGACAACAGGCAGAGCTCCATGTCCCTGACCATGACCAACCTCAAGAACGAGGATTCCGGATCCTATTTCTGTGCCAAATGCGTTGATGGTGGTTTTGCCAATAGTGATGGTACTGTTGGTGTGGCATTTCTTGCTGGTTCTGATCTTGGTCCCAAATCCCTCCACTTTGTTCCCACATGTCCCAGAGTCCTCTGATCTCCCCACGAAATTCCAGCCCTTTTCATCAATCTCGGCCATTTTCCCCCAACTCTGCCCCTGCTGCCCCAACTGCCCACTTTCCCCAATTTTTCCCATTTCACCTAAATCTCCGGCAGCTCCCAGGGTCCTCATTGGGAGGAGGCCAATCGGAAGTCAGGGGTGAAGGTTTGGGGCCAATGGTTGAGTTTGGGGGCAGAACCAGTTTGGATTGGGGATCAGTGCTGACCATGGGTGCAAATGGGGAGAAAGGGTCAAGGGCTGGGTCAATGGGTGAGGTTTGGGGGAAGGGTCTTAGGGCTGGGGACATTTGGGGACCCGACAACAAAGGCAGGGCTGAAACAAACATAAATACAATAACCTTCATAATTACAATTAGCGAAATCGCATTTCATGCAGAAATAGGATCCGGAATCCTCGTCCTTGAGGTTGTTCATGGTCAGCATCACCGAGCTCTGCCCGTTGTCCCTGGAGATCGTGAACTGGCCCTCAAAAGATGGGGCATATCTGGGGCTGCCACCAGTACTGATGATCCCTGCGAGCCACTCCAGCCCCTGCCCGGGTCTCTGGCGGGCCCACTGCATGCCAAAATTCCCAACTGGAAAACAACGGCGTGGCCGGCTGAAGGTGATCCCATTTTGATGGAACAACACCCTCTGCCTGCAGACAGCTCCAAGGGTCAGAGCAGACCACACAGCTTGGCAGAAGTGGGAAAGAGGAGTTTTTAGGGTTTAAAGTTACTCCAAAAAGGAGATTTTAGGGTTTAAAGTTAGTACAAAAAGGAGTTTTTAGGGTTTAAAATTACTCCAAAAAGGAGCTTTTAGGGTTTCCAAGGAGGAGGTCGAAGGCTTGGCAGAAGGGGCCCAAAGAGGAGTTTTTAGGGTTTAAAATGTAATAGAGTATGGTAATGAAACGATTCTTATAGGCTGTATGTAAATGCTGTAGGGTTTGTATATTGTACTAGATTGGTTGGTGAGAATTAGAATATTCTACAGAGAAGAAGATTTATTGTATTGTGGTGGGAACCTCACTCTCTTACCCTTTTATTCTCTTACAGTTTTATGTTCTTACCCTTTTACACTCTTACCATTTTATTCACTGACTTTTTCACTATCTTACCCTTTCTATTCTGTCACCCTTTTACTCATTTACCTTTTTTACTCTCTTACTCTCTTACCCTCTCTCCCGCTCTCCCCTCTCTTCTCTCAGCCCTGCTCCAGCTGTGCCTGGCAGCTCCCAGCAAGGCCCTGCAGGTCATCCTTTGTAATAAACCCTAAATGCCACAACCTGGCTGCAGAGATCTCTCGTATCTGTCCATCTGTCCCGACCATCATATGCCCTGATGCTCCTGCAGTGCTGGATGGGGAATGGGGCCAAGCCCGGCACGTCAATAGAAGCAACACCATAAGTACCATCAGGAGTATAAACATATTTGGCACAGAAATAGGATCCGGAATCCTCGTCCTTGAGGTTGTTCATGGTCAGCGTCAGCGAGCTCTGCCCGTTGTCCTTGGAGATCGTGAACCGGCCCTTGACCGAATCCGCATAGCTGATGCTGCCAGTGGTGCTGATATCTGCAATGAACTCCAGCGCCTGCCCGGGTCTCTGGCGGATCCAGGCCATCACAATAATCCCAAAATCGTTCCCAGGCGCTCGGCAGAGCAGGTGCAGGGACCCCCTGGGAGGCTGGAGGTCCCCCCCACACTCCAGCAGGGTCACGGCCGCCCGGAGCCCTGCGGGACAAAGGAGAGATTGGGATGAGGCCAAAGCTCAACCCTTGACCCAAACCCTGACTTTTGGCCACGAATTTTGACACTTCTGCCACCATATCGTCCTCCTGGCTGCCCTCTCATGTGGGTCCTGCCCCTTTTTTCTGTAAGTCATGCCCCTTTTCCCCTTCTGGACCAATCAGATTTCTTGTTTCCATCATCTCCGCTTTGTCCCGCAGGGCTCCGGGTGGCCGTGACCCTGCTGGAGTGCGTGGGGGACCTCCAGTCCCCCGGGGGTGTCCCTGCGCCTCCTCTGCCGAGGGCCGGGGTTCTATTTGGGGAGTTTTGCCATGAACTGGGTCTGCCAGAGACTCGGGCAGGGGCTGGAATGGGTCGCGGGCATCAGCCGCCGTGGTTCTTACACCGAGTACGTGCCATCAGCCAATGGTCGGTTCAGGATCTCCAGGGACAACGGGCAGAGCTCGGTGACACTGACCATGAACAACCTCAAGGACGAGGATACCGGATCCTATTTCTGTGCCAAATCTGATTATGGTGATGGTGGTGGTGGTGGTTTTATTGACAATGCCCAAGCTGTCCCCATCCCCGTGTCCCCCCCCTTGTCCCCGTTGCCTAGACCCTTCCCCCAAACCCCCAGCCCACACCCAGCCCTTGACCATTGATCCCAACCTTGCTCTGCCTCCGCCCCAATTCTCACCCGCTGACCGCAAACCACAACTCCTGCCCCCAAATCTCCACTTTATTCCCCAAACTTTGCTCTGAAGGTCGGGGTTTTGGGCCCAGGGTCCCGATTTGGGGACAAAGGTTGAGGATTCATGTCAGAGGCTGCTGCTACAGGGAGCACAAGTGGGGATTTGGGGCAGAACCCAATTGGGCATTTTTTTTTTTTGCTTCCTCGTTGGTGGTGTTGGAACCGGGGGAGATCTAGGGCAAAGGGTCAAGAATGTGGTCAAGGACTGAGATTTGGGGGAGGAGCCTGGGATTTTGGGACAGGACGGGACCCAGTCAAGGGGAAGAGGCCAAGGGCAGAGACATCATTACCCCACCTGGCACCAGCAGCCTTGGCGCAGAAATAGGATCCGGAATCCTCGTCCTTGAGGTTGTTCATGTTCAGCGTCACCGAGTTCTTCCCGTTGTCCCTGGAGATCCTGAAACGGCCCTTGACTGAACCCGTGTACTCGGTGTAACCACCATTGCTGTAGATCCCTGCGACCCACTCCAGCCCCTGCCCGGGTCTCTGATGGATCCAGAACATTCCAAAACTCCCAAAATTGAACCTGGACGCTCGGCAGAGGAGACGCATAGACCCCCCGGGGGACTGGAGGTCCCCCCCGCACTCCAGCAGGGTCACGGCCGCTCCCCCATCCCATACCCTTCACTGGTTTTTCCCCCAATTCCCTTTGTTTGTCCCTAAATCTCCAACAGAGGTACCCTGAATGGTAAAGTGCCTTAAACCTTGCAATCAGTCCCAATCCACCCATTAAATAATTGGACACCTATACCTGGCTTTTGCATCGCCTCATCCCCATCTCCCCTTTGTCCCGCAGGGCTCCGGGCGGCTGTGACCCTGCTGGAGTGCAGGGGGGACCTCCAGCCCCCCGGGGGTGCCCTGCGCCTCCTCTGCCCAGGGTCCAGTATTGATTTCGGGGGTTCCACCCTGTACTGGGTGTGCCAGAGACCCGGGAAGGGGCTGGAGTAGCTCGCAGGGATCAACACTGGTGGCGGCGCCTGGTACGCGCCATCGGTCAAGGGCCGGGTCATGATCTCCAGGGACAATGGGCAGAGCTCGGTGACGCTGACCATGAACAACCTCAAGGACGAGGATTCCGGATCCTATTTCTGCGGGAA